TTTCTAAGTTTCAAGACATACTGTACTTGCAAGTATAATTGTCCGAAGGACAAAATCCAAAACATACATTTTAGCAAGTCAATAGATGCTAAGAAGTGAGATTAAGAACTTAAAACACATCCTCAGCTATGATTTAATAGGACTTTCAAGAGTATTCCACATGGAAGTGTTTTATGAAGCACCATTACCATCTCTATTTTACATATTACAAAAGTGAGGCTTAGTGGGAGTAAATGCCTTGCCAAAGATCACATATGTGGTCGGCATTAGAGGTGGGATCTGAATGAAGGACATCGGATGCAGAGTATCCTACCTGTATTGCCATCTCATGCTACAGATGCCTGAGCCACCGAGCCTGCTTTTCCTTTCAAATAATCATAGTTCTTAAATTGTGAATGTCCCTAAAAAATAATTTTTGACAGAACTACACATATTTAAGTACATTGTTTTGTTTAAGCAGCACTGCTGGGTACATTTTAAATATCATATCCTAATCAGCATCAGTACCATTATGATTATTGTCATTATCACTGAATGTATGGGGATACAGTGGTGGACCAAAACAGATGCTGTTCCTGTCTGCTACAAAGCTCACTGTCTAAGCAATTAATCATACACATGTATACATGCAGTGATGACAAGCTCTTTGAATCAGAGCTGCTGAGTACTAAGGGAGCAGTTAGGGAGAGTTACTAGAGTCATGCAGGTCATGAAAGGCCTTCTTGAGGAAGTAACCCTTGAGCAGAGAATTGAAAAATAAGCTAATGTTAAGATAAAATCTGAGGCATGAACATGCCATGGGATTAAGTGACATGGCAAGCACCAAGATGACGAGAGGGGAAGGAATGAGACGAGTGGGGGATGAGATGAAGGACAATGGAGGCATACGCCAGACCTCAAGGAGCTTTAAGGTCACGTTGAGTAGTTTTATTTTCTACGCAAAGGTCACTGGAGCATCACATTGTTCATCAGGGGGTGTGACATACTCAGGTTTGCATTTTTTAAACAATCATTCTGGTTGCAGTGTAGAGAATAAGGTGGAGGACGATCAGCTGTTGGTCCTGGTAGATCAGTAAGGTAACTATTGCTGTGATACAAGTAAGAAATACAGATAGCTCAGCGGGGGTCATGGAGGTTGAGATGGAGAGAGTGGTTAGGTTTGGGAAATATTTGAGATCAAATCAATAGGGTGTGGTGAAGTACTGAATATGGTGGTTGGTGGAGAGGGAGTCTTAGAGAGGATGCCTTGGCTTTTGGTTGACGGCAATGAACAGGGACAGTAGAATAGAAACAGGATTTGGAGGAGGTATTAAAGGTTTGGCTTTGACATGTGGAGTTTGAGGAGCCTTCAAGACATCCAACAGGAATTGTTAAGGAAGCAGCTGGATGTACAGGCCTGGGTAGAAACACATATGTGTGTTTCATCTGCATAAAAGGGTATTGATAGTTATGGATGTGCATAATATTGTATTAAGTGAGTGCAGCATAAGAAGAGAGGGCCTAGAGAGGGCCTTTAGGAAATCAACTGTCATAGACCAGGTAGAAGAGAGTATGTCTGTCAATGAGACAGAGTAGGAGGCAAGCCAGAGTGCACTGTGTGCAGGGTCGAAGAAGGAAAGTGCTTCAAGAGCAAAATGGTGATTGCTAGGGACAGAGGAGAGAGGGAAATGTGGAGCTTCAGTCAATGGGTATAAAGTTTCTCATTGGATAAGCTTTAGAGACCCACTGCATGATGCTGTGCCCACAGTTAACAAGACTGAACATGTAAAAATCTGTTGAGAAACTAGATCTCAGGTTAAGTGTCCTTAGCCACAATAAATAAAAATAAAACTTTAAAAAGGGGAAAAGAGCCCTGGCTGGTGTGGCTCAGTGGACTGAGTGCTGGCCTGCGAACCAAAGGGTCGCTGGTTCGATCTGTAGTCAGGGCATGTGCCTGGGTTGCAGGCCAGGTCCCCAGTAGGGGGCGCGTGAGAGGCAACCACACATGGCTGTTTCTCTCCCTCTCTTTCTCCCTCCTTTCCTCTCTGTCTAAAAATAAATAAATAAAACCTGTGAAAAAAATTAAAAAGGGGAAAGAAACCGATGGTGTTCAGTGTCATGGAACTGTCAGGCAAGATAACAACAAAAAAATATCCTTTAGTCTTAGTTACATGGAGTTCACTGGCAGACTTAGTGAGAGCTATTTCTGTGGACTGACAGAGCTGGGATCCAAATTGAGGAGAGCTGAGAAGTAAAATGAGGAGGCTAGACTAGATCCTCTAAAAGTCCCTTCAAACTCTAAAATAATAAATTTCATGCTGTTAGCCAGAGCGTCCCTTTTTTGCAGGTATCCGTGCTCATCCTACTCCTGGTTAATAACGTCTGCTGTTGAAAGAAATTGTTTCCCAATACTATATTATTTTGAGCAGCATTACAACCTCAAACAAATTCAGGACAAATCATTTTCATATGTATTATTCTTAGAAAAGAATCTTGAGCACAAAAAAATCTTGTATGATTTTTCTACAGTACCAATTGAAGAAATATATTTCCAGGAATTGATTTTTATTTTTGGGGGGTCAGGGCTGCAGGGATGAAACCAGGTCTAGAATTTCCACATGGATGAATTTGGAAGAGAACAGATTTGAAGCTGCAGTGTAAGCATGTCTCACACTACACTACGCTGTCTTCCTTTTAAACTGAATCACTTTTTCTGGGTTTTGAGAGTTAAGAGAACACATCCGAAAAATTGATTTTGTATGTAAGCAGAATGCTTGGGCACTGCTGCTTTTCATGAAGGACAAATTCCTATATTCTCACTGTCTTGGTGGGATAGAAATCCAATAAAAGGGTGTATAAACCGTTGCCACTCAAAGTGTGATCAGCGAACCAGCGGCATGAACCTCAGCTAGAGCTTGTTAGAAAGGGAGAACTTCACTAACCATCCCAGACCTACTAGGCCAGAAAGTGCATTTCAACAAGATTCTTGGGTGATTCATATTACCATTAAAAGATGACAAGAACTCACAATTTTTTCTCAGAATTTTTTCTACTTTTTAAAAACATAAATTCTTTGTTATTCTGCTATGATATGTAAACTGATCCAGGGGCACATTTGTCGTTTATGGACCACAAATTAATCACATTTTATTTTAACATTAAGACCCGTGGTGGAGCGCCAAGGTGACTAACAAGGTGTATTTTATAGACAGAAAGTAGCTTCCTCACCCAGCTAGTGGTTAACACGTAATTTTCATTTCTCTTTACGGGGTACTAATTACTTGCGTTGCACTATTTACTCTTCCTCTTTTACTATTAATAATATTTATAAATTAATACTATTTATAAATTTAATTTGAAATAGAAAGGTTACCTTCATGTTTTTGTACAGGGTTTATAAACTTTAGCTCTTGTCTGTCTCTTTAGCTAATTTAGAAGAGTTTCACTTTATTGCATGACCCTTCCCAGTGATTAACACTTGGAAAGGGCAGATAATGGTGGAAAGAAAGGGAAGGGACTAGTCGAAGAACATGTGTGAATGACCCATGGGCATGGGCAACAGAGTGGGAATTGACCGTGGGAGTCGGGGTGGGATGTGCGGCGGAGGGCAAAGGGGCAAAAATGGGACAACTGTAGTAGAACAACAATAAAATATTTAAACTTCCCGCGGGGCGGGGGGGAACCTCAACCCAGAGTCTCACCCTACCTTGCTCCCTTTCTTATGTGGAGCCCTACTCTAACCTTTAACCAGGGCAGGAAAAGATTGCTACTGCCCCCTTCTGGCCCATTGTATTTTTCCTCCTTTACAAGTCGGTGACTTCAAGAGGATGCCCATGGATTTTGAGCCGCTGAAGAAAACTCAACAGAAGGGGTTTTCCCTAGTGAAGAGGTAAAGAGATCCTTTGGGAAGAGGCGACTAAAGTCAAACAAAACACTCAAGGGGTGAGGTATGCACAAAGGATTTCTAAATGGATTTCTGTAGCCCCATGAACCTTTTCCCGCACGCAGGCTTCTCCATCCCAGGAAATAACCCCTCCTCTTCAGCACAGGACTCCCCTCTGCCTCCAGGTTCCACCGGCAAGGAGTGGGCTACCCAGTCCCCTATTATAATTTCAGCACTCCACGTCCTGTGCTCTGCTTTCCCCAATTGCCTTTCCGCACGCCTAGACCTTATTCCCTTCTCTGTTCTGCTTCAAACTCCTGTCCCGCCCACCCACCGACAGACTTCGCATTTCCAGGAGCTCAGACCCTAGCCTCCTTCACCCTCTCCGTCTGCCCTGACCTCTGCTCTTCCCCGGGTGCCATCACACCCCCTTCAGCGCCCCTAAGCCGAACGGCCAGTCACTCTTTGCCTTTGAACGGCAGGCATGTCCCCTCTTGCACGCCTCTCCCCGACCCCCGCCCCAAGCGACTGAAAAAGGAAACATGCGCACTTCAGAGCTAGAAGCTGTCCTAGTGCTGAAATTTATAGGCTGGGTAAGATCACGTCTCCGTCTCTTTCCGTAGCCCTCATTCCAGCACAGGATCACAGCATTTTTGCCCTCTTCTCCCTACCCACTCCGGCTCGCGGAGTCCTTTTTTCTCCCTCCTTTACAACTTCTTTTAGAAAGAGAACATTTTCTAGAGAAAGGGGATTTGCTAAACAGAGAGGACTTAAAAGCCACAGCCGCCCGACCTCCAGCATGGCATTGTCACCAGCCCCCTTTGCATGGTGATGTGCTTTCGGTAGCAGCGTTTTTTTGTTCTTTAGGAAGAGCAGCTAGGGGACCCGTCAGCTCCAAGGCTTTGTCTCTCCTGGGTTCGCTGATGGTCCTGAGCCCTGGTTTGACCTGACCATGATGCCTGGAACTGGCACTTTTTGTTTTTTCTCAGCAAACTGTACGGACCCAAATCTCTTTTTGATTTTCAAGGAAACTAGATTCCTGCCAGATTTTGAATCTGGACAATAGACAGATACTTTATCCTAGCTTCTTTCTGGAATCATTTCGGGGATATTTTCCACAAGCATCACAGAAACAGGAATGAACCGGCAGCTAGTGAACATTTTGACAGCCTTGTTTGCATTTTCCTTAGAGACAGGCCACTTCAGGTAGGTGCAAAGACTTTGCATGCTGATATTTTCCACCTGAAAACTGTTTGAAAGATAACATGTCATGCAATTTGTATCAATTTCCTATGCCCTGGACCATGTTATTTTAATTTTATGGAGGACACTTGGATTTCTTTTGTTCTTTTAAAAAGCTTAATTATGGTGGGAGAGTGGTGAATTTTCACAAAGGCAAGTTTTATGATGCATAAACCCACTCTGCATTTCAACACATTTTCACAGCCAATGCGATATTCAAGTAGTCTCACGAGTTGCATGCTCTTTACATTTCTATATAATGATGAATTTATTTATTTATTTATTTATTTATTGCTTTCGAATTCTTTTGGAAGTCATTTAAAGGGATTATTGGATGCAATACTTTTGATATGGTCAAAGCGACTGGATTAATTTGCCAAGATCATGCTCATTTTACATACGATATTAAAAACCCCTAATTCTTAGCCAACTTGGGACTTCTATTGTATTTCAGCAACTACATGCATACTATGAGGACTAAAACTCAAGAAATTTCTTGAAACATCAGAAACACTTCAGATCTCATTTTGCCACTATAGCCTACTGTTCAGTATATATGAAATCGATTGCCTACCAAAATGTAATTACAATGACATCTTTGTATTGATGTATGCATGAGAAGTAGATTATGAATAATTAAAATAAGTGAGAAATCATTATTTGTATGCTTGCATTTTCTAACTAATTTACAAACTGTCAAATCAATTGATACTTCAAAATATCAGATTAGTAGCAGTGAAATAGCCACCCTAATGAAAGAGGTTCTAAGACAGGATAAATGGGAGATGCTCATACAACAAAGTGTAGAACTCTTCATTTAATTTTCACCATATTTTATGGTATTTTTTCACAGAACCAAGAGAAATGAAGCATATAGCAGCAACGCTATGAGTACTAAGAAAACCCACTATGTTCCTTTCAGGTTTCTCACCTCCTGCTATGATTAAGAAAACTTGCAGGCTGGGTTTTATTAGAATCATCATCATCATCATCATCATCATCATCATCACCACCATCACCATCATCATCAACCTTCATCTTCACTACCACCACCATCAGCATAAACAAATAGTTCTTGATCAATGTGATCAATCAGATGATTCTGCATATAGGAATGTGAGTATTTCTAGATTACTGTATCATTTTTTAACTCTTACAAAATGTTTATATCATCTTTGTATTTATGTTTAATACTACTTCTTTGAAAAACTGGAAAGAAGGTGGCATTTTCATAGTTATAGAATTAACAAGATTATTTATTAAACTATTGAAAACAAAGCTTGTAAAATACATACTTCAGAGTAGAAATCAACATTTGGTCACCACTATATATTGTGATAGAATTAATTTTCACGATAAACTAAAGATGCTCTTCCTATAAACCCTTTCAGGAAAATAAAATTCCAAAAGTGTTTCCAATCCAAAACATTCAGTATTTTTGATCACTCAAAAGGTAAAATAATTTAGAAGTTCTTTTCTATGAATACTTTATTAGAGTCAACTATTTAAATGGTATTACATAAATAACAACTGATAAAATAATAGTACAGACATGCTCATTGTTGACCTATTTTAGAATGAAGTTAAATTTCCAAGTGAAGATTTTCTTTCAGACATCACAGAAAAGTATTAATAGTTGATAGCTAGAATAAAGTCTAGCAGGTGAGAAAATGAGTAATAGGATAATTAGTTCATGGTTACTTTGTTCTGCCCATCTCATTACATATTTCTTAGAAACACTAGAGGACTTACAATAAGGACTAAAATGCTAGAAGTATTTTTTTTTTGAAATTTATGGGCAAATAATTTTAACACAATCACCTAGATTTTGGAAATTATCATCTTCATTTCTCTGATGACTCTAGAAATAGCTTTAACTATACAGCCATGAAGTCTACAATGTAAAACTATGCACATTGTTTCATTTTAAACATCTTGTGCATGGCTAAAGTTTGAAAACTTAAGAGATATGACTCAGGATTTATACCTCGCATCATTTAAAGTTAACTCTGGGTCATGTATAATTTCAGAAGTTGACCAAAAGAGTTTGTAATTTTCTTTTACTTCTTAGCAACATATCTAATATATTTACGAAACACGTCAAACATTCTGTGAGCATTGATTCTCAGGCAAGGAGAATGGAATTACTGCTAAAAGATTTAATGATGTGTTTAGGACGGCTTTCGGCAAAGACCATGACTCCAGGTCTGGAAAACAACCTTCGCAGACCCTATCTCCTTCAGATTTCTTGGACAAATTAATGGGAAGGACATCGGGATATGATGCAAGAATCAGACCAAACTTTAAAGGTAGGTTTTACTTAAACTTAGGTTATGCCTGTGGGAAATCTTCGAGACATTTAAATAATCTGAAAAAAAGTTTTCAGTGCTTTTTATTATAAAATGAAGACAAGTATAGTATTCATTTCATTTTGGCATTCTTTTGAACTAGTCGATTTAATAGCTTACATTTTACATGTTGCTTGCCACTTTTAAGAACTTTCCTTATTTGTGTTCTATTCCACAAAGAAAACTACTGTCAGAGGTTATTGCCACATTCCCTATTTTATCTTAAGTGAGAGTGTGACTGCAAGTAAATACGAGAGCAAATGATAGGCTTAGCTTGTACGAATGCCTATCAGGGCTCATACAAGATCCAATGGTTACACCAAAATCCTCGGTTTGGGTTTTAAATACTTACTCCCAAAGTGAAAATTAAATCTCAATATAAAACACGCCATTTTACACATTTTCAGGCCTCTTTCATCTTTAAATAGTGTTGTGAAGAGGCTCTAATAAGACATCAGAAAATTTTGGTTTCCTCTTATTTAAACATTGTAATTGTTTATTTGATATTACTTATCTGAAAGTCACAAAAAATATAATAGAAATGTAATGTGCATGTGTCAAAGATAGTAGATGCTTTCTTTGTTCAATTAGAAACAAACCAAAATATTTAGTGTTTTCGTTGAACATTACAAAAATGGAATTGATAGTCTATAGGAATTACTTTTTAACTATTTGGTTTATTTTTATTCTGAATCAGAAAAATACTGTAATAAGAACTAATTATTAATTATTGAATTATTAATGCTTTAATTTTTAAATATGTATTTTAAATGACAATTGCATTTTATCTTATAACTTATTTTACTATAATGCATTGTGAAGTGTTTATAATATTTTATAAGAGGAGAAACCTTTAATATTCTAGATGTTATGTCATAATTCATGCATTGCTTTGGTTTTGCTTATTAGCAATTTAGTTGGATTGGTTTCCTTGAGTATTGATTAGTTTTTATTATTGGCAAATATAAGCCTGAAAACTAAATTCTAAATTCATTTCTTCTTAAATGCTACGCCTCTGAATATACCCAGCTAAGGACACATTTCATAAAGAAATACATAAGAACTTTGATAAAAATAAATGTTTTTGATTTATAGAGTATTTCCAAAAGAGACAACAGAACTAAGTTTGAAGCTTGATTTTCCTGAAAACAATTTTCATGTTCATCCCATTTCATATTAATTTTGTGATCACTGCTTTGGAAGTCAATATTTGAAACAAAATCCTATGAGTACCCAATCGAGAATCAGCTTTCAATGGGACTGCTCAATTATACACTTTTTCATTTAGGACATTCAAAAACTTTGGAGTCTGAACTATATGCCAAATAGTAACTGCTATATGCTTTGACAAGTTGAAAGATGAAACAGGTTTCAGTGCTACATCAGAAATTTCAGTGAGGAGAGTAGATATTGCATGAATAGTTATAAAATATAATAATATGAAATATATATTATATAGAAACGAAGTCATTAGTAGTTAAGTAACATTAGGGAGTACAGATAGAATACTACAGGATTCCAACAAATGAAGAGATGATTCCCTATTAAGCTAGCCATGGAAAGCTGCAGAGATAAGGTCCAGAGATGAGAAACTGTTTGAAGTTCATGGACATCCTGTTTAATAGCAGTAATTATCCATTATTTTCTAGGAAAAGCTATTCAATAGGATGCAAAAGTACAAAGAGTAATAAAACATCCATGTTGCCATTGCTACTTTAAGTGACCATTTAAAATGGGCCATCAGTGCCACACACAGCTTTTTTCCTGGTTATTTTGGGGATAGCACCCTTTGGGGATAACATTTCTCATGAGTTCAAACAATAAATAAATGAAAAGAATAAAGTATAGCAAACCAGGGCCATGTTATAAGATTTGTCAATTACTTGAACACCTGAGCCTAGCATGTTTCAAAGACATATAAAAGGGAAATTGGGTGGATATCATTTAAGATTCTAATATTAATGGACTTCACTGAGTTCTGTCTCCTTCCCATATATATATATATATATATGCATATATAATATTATTTATATATTTTATATAGTATAGGGAAAGGAAGACATCTTTTTCTCCAGAATGAGGAAATAAGAACCGAAACAGGAAAATTCAGATCAATTATGAAGATTAGCATGCCCAATTAGCTGTAGTAATTGGGTGGGAACTTTTGAGGGACCACCAGTAGTCACAGTGGATAGCGAACATGATCTTGTTGAGCTGAGGAGAAAGAGATAATAAGGAACTTGTAACAGTCAGGAAGCTAGAAAGAACACTACAGTACTTACTACAGTTGACTAGCAATGTAGCGGGGAGAGATTTTATATAGCAGGTAGAAATGAAAGGTGATTAGGAAATGTGATTGTATCTGGAATAGTGACAGGTTCCTTGTAAATGCCAAAAAAATAAACTATGATAACAATAAACATGATGATGATGATGATGATGATGATGATGATGATGATGCTTAAAATGGCAATGATAATGATTAATAAGAAGGCAGAAGGGCAAGATTTGGCCACAAGAATAAAAGCAAGAGCCAGATATTGGCTGCTGAAGCAAAGGGAATGACTTTTCTAGAAGTTTTACTAAATAATAGCACATTTCTCTGTTTTCTTGCTGCCATGCATTGGCAAGGGAGAAAGAAATGCCTATGCATTATTCTCCTTATTTGAAGGCATTTTTCCTGCATGCTTTCAAGTCAGGAAAATATTTCATGTCTGTTTCATGTCCCTGATAGGCTCTGAAAGATGTCGTAATGGGGATATACACAAGAAGGAAGATGGATGTAAGCTCGAAAAGGGAACCAGAAATGATTCAGACTTGGGTCTGTAATTGAGAGCCATTCTGAGAAACTATAGGAAAAAAATAGCTTTTCTGATGTGCAGCACAAGTGTATAAACAAAGTCATGAGTCAGAGTTGCCAATTGCATTACATCTATAAGATCCATAGAGACCTGGGTTAGATCTTGTCAAAACATAAATTTTCAAAATCCTCAGTTCAGATAAAAACACAAGCTATGTCCATTCATGATTACCTGGTTTTGAAACTATGGTCAATGTTGACTTTATGTCAACAGGGGAGTCTCACTCCCCGCTTGGGTGTTTTGTCTCATTGTCAGTTAATTTGTCACATTGTTATTCCATCATTTTATTAGATACTACTTTGTCAGTACAATTGTATCTTGAAAATGCCACTTTAAACATTAAGCTTTTAAAGAAGCCAAATGAAATGCTCAAACCTGGGCAAAATGAATTAGTTCTAATTCTCTGTCTTTGAAACAAAGCCTTTATCTAGTGTAATGAAATTTTCTTTGAAAATGAAATTAACTTAGAGTTATATCCTAAGTTTCATTCCAATGTGAATAAATACATTTCACCATAACACTCATTTTGGGTTAGGATCTAGAAGAGATAATGCCAGGAGATAATTATTCACTCCACTTCTTTGTGCATGCCATGCACACTAATTTTTTTCCATGTCTGGAGACCTAAATTTGAAAGTGTGATGTGTGACATTAAAACCTAAATTTGCATGCAATATGGCTTCCTTCATTTCCCAGGGAGCTATCAGCTCAAGAGGTGTTTGAGATATAAGTAGAAATAGATCCCCTTCCTAAAAACTAGAGGTCTTCAGGTTTTTCCCCTTAGAAATTCTCTTGTCTGTAGCCTCATAAAGCTCAAGCTCAAATGTTGTCCTTACCAGTCCCTGCAGAGGGTGGCTTGGGCACAAAGGTCCATCAGCAGGGACACTTGGAAAGGGTGATTTTCTCAGTGATGACGCAGTCCCGGTGTGATCGCTCCTTTGATCACCCCGGTGGATGTGGGCATCACAGATCACTAGGGAGAGCAGAATGCTCTCAAGTATCAGAAGTATTTGATCTGAGTACAGAAAGTAGCAGAAGCCTTCAGGCACCTGAAAGGTAAAGCCATTTTAGAACAAGACAATCAGAGATAAAGGGGCGGGGGGAAAGAGTATTGAAAGGAAAGGCTTCGGGCAACAAAGGGAAACTTATATATGACAGTTTTATTCAGGGATGATATTAATGGAGATTTTTGAACATCTGAAATCCACTGTATCACAGTTTATTTTAGCTTTTGTGTGTTGTATGGACACTGACTAACACATTTGTATATACTAGGCTACTACTCTGGGCCTTCTAACACTCTAGTAAAGAATATCCCAGGAAGTTCACCTTACTGGAATATTTCACCCATTCCCTGGTGACAGAGTAGTAGAGTGGAAACAGCCCTGGACTGAGATTCAGGAAACCCAGGTTCATGTCCTCATTCAGTCTTTTTTCAAAAAAGTGTCCTCACCTCTCCACGTCTCAGGTTTTCTTCTGCCTTTGTTACCTCATTTCAGTTATCCTGAGCATCAAAGATCATGTATCTGAATGATCTGTTTTGAACTAGAAAGATTATTACAAATAATTTGAATTATCATTACTAGTCCTCCATTTCTCTTTTATAACCAACACTAACTATATGTTATCAAAGCTTACGCTTCGTGGTGATTGGGTATTTATAAATGATTATTTTAATGGAAAAAAAACACATGTTGAAGAAGTTCTAGCATTTTAGAGTTCAACTGCAGTACAAGAACAGAGCTGATATGTGTCTCAGCTGGTTCTCCTTTTATTGGTTCAGTAAGAAAATTTCCAACCTGAAAGGGCTATTTCTATTCCTAATCATGAAACAGACAGGGAGGCATTTGTAAGAAGGAATTATCTTTATCTATTCAAATCCCATCCCTGATTATTTTCTTGGACTCTTTAAATGAACAAAGTAAAAGACCTGGAACTAATTTCACTTGGTCCTAGAAAGACTCTTGAACTTAACTGGAGACATACGATCGTCACTTCTGATGTATTTTCTTGTCCGGTTACTGCAGTTGCAAGGGTCACCGCACAGACGTGCTGCATTTATTTCCTATTTTAGAATAAGTATTTTTAAAAGGACATTTG